TTTTTTTTTTCCCTGAGATGGAGTCTCTCTCTCTGTCACCCAGGATGGAGTGCAGTGGGACAATCTCGGCTCACTGCAACCTCCGCTTCCCAGGTTCAAGCAGTTCTCCTGCCTCAGCTTCCCAGGTAGCTGGGATTACAGGCGCACACCACCATGGCTGGCTAACTTTTTTGTATTTTTAGTAGAGACAGGGTTTCTCCATGTTGGTCAGGCTGGTCTCAGACTCCAGATCTCATGGTCCGCCTGCCTCGGCCTCCCAAAGTGCTGGGATAACAGGCGTGAGCCGCCGCACCCCGCCAGTTCCAGGGGAATTCTGATCTGGTGGGTGGGCGAGGGTGTGTCCATGTGGTGAGTTGGGTGGGTGTGTCTGTCAGTACACAGATGGCCTGTTTTCCCTTCAGCCTCTTTCTCATGTTTTCTGAGCATTCATTGTGCCTGAACATTTTCTGCCTGTTCTTTGAGACAAAGCAGTATTTTACTCATTCTTTGAATGTTCTTATTCTTTTGTATCATGTGACTTATCAATAAAATCAGTTTCTAACAAACCCTGGGGTGGCTCCTGATATGAAGTAATGAGGGTGTGCCTGTGACAGTGCAGGAGTTGATTACAGGCTTTGTATTTGGTTTTCATGAAACGTGCGTCAAGGTGTCCGGCCCTCGGGCCAGCCAGGTTGATGCCTGAGGAGCACCCAAGCTGTCTCATCTTGGCGGCTTGCAGTACTCCCAGGCTCAGGTGGCCCAGGAGGGGTTCAGGTTCCTGTGGGGACCAAGGTGAGTAACTACGGATGCTTATGTCCTCCCTGAGGGCACCTCATGCTCCAGGCCTGGCAGGAGGCCGTTTGTTTCCCGAAGATTCTGCTGTCAACACCTAGCTGGGAGGGGACAGTAGCAGGCCCAGCTGGTGCACTGTGAGCCCTGCAGCAAGCACCCAGGGCCTGCGCCTGCAGCGTTTAAGTGCTGCTGGGGGACTGGGGTTCACACTGAATGCTTCCAGAGATGGGAGGAGCAAGCCACCTGTCCCTGTGGCAGCTTGGTCCTGGGACCAGGGCTGTCTCCCTGGGTGTCCATGACAGTGAGTGGCGCCTTGTCCTCCGTGTGATCTCTTTGGCCAGGCAGCATGATGCCATGACCATGGTCACCTGTGACCTCTCATGGGCATAATAGTGCCCAGGCCAGGCACAGTGGCTCGCGCCTGTAATTCCAGCACTTTGGGAGGCCAAGGCCAGAGGATCACTTGAGCCCAGCCTGGCAAACATGGTGAAACCCCTTCTCTACAAAAAAAGAAAAAATTAGCCAGGCATGGTGGCACAAGCCTGTCGTCCCCAGCTGCTTGGGAAGCTGAGACTAGAGGATTGCCTGGCCCAGGAGGTGGAGGATACAGTGTGCTGTTTTCATGCCACTGTGCACTCCAGCCGGGGCAACAAAGCGAAACCCTGTCTCCAAAAAAAAACCCGAAAAAGACAACTCACCTCATTGGACTGCTGGGAACTTTAGTTGCCTGGGCAGCCGAGGCCTTCAACAGGTGTAGGCTTCTCTACCTGACAGTTCTGTGCCTGGAAAGCCAGGAGGACACCCTGGGACCACAGGGCTGCCAACGGCAAGGACACCCCCATTCATCGGCCTGGAGCCCCTCTTGCCCGAACCCAGCCTGCTCAGGCCACCTGTGTCAGTTGCCTGTCACTGCTATGACACAGGCCTCAGTGGAGAGAACACATGTTCATTATCCCAAGCTCTGTAAGTCAGACATGGGACCCAGGTCTCAGTGGCTTCGTTCCTGGGGCCTTGAGGGAGAACCCCTTTCCAGCACATTCTTGGCTCCTGGCCCTTTTGTCATCTTCCGAGCCAGTGAAGGCACGTGGAGTCCTCAGGTCACAGTGACCTTTGTCCTCGCATCTTTGACTCTTCTTGAAGGACCCTCTGATTACACTGGGTCACTTGCATGATCCACGATAATATCTCAATGAAAGGAGGGCACCTGGGGGCCCTCAGGAGGTGAGGCCAGGGACAGCAGCTCACACCTGTAATCCCAGCACTTTGGGAGGACAAGGCAGGCAGATCATTTGAGCTCAGGAGTTTGAGATCAGCCTGGCCAACGTGGTGAGACCCCATCTCTACTAAAAATACAAAAACTAGCCAGGTGTGATGACGGGCACCTATAATCCCAGCTACTCAAGAGGCCGAGGCAGGAGAATCACTCGAACCCGGGAGGCAGAGGTTGCAGTGAGCTGAGATTGCGCCACTGCATTCCAGCCTAGGTGACAGAGTGAAACTCCATCTCAAAAAATAAAATAATAAAAATTATTTTTCTTAAAAGAGGGCCTCTCAAAATATGTTTCAGGCCCCACAAGTCCTGGATTATCCTCTGCTCACCAGACATACTGGCTCTGCTTGTTTCCAGAACACCCTGTAGTCTCCAGCCTCAGGGCTTCTGCCCAAGCAGGTTCCTCTCCCTTTTGAAAGTCCAGGCATGCTCAAGGCCAAAGCAGGAGGATCCCCTGAGCCCAGAAGCTCCCTGGGCAACAGAGACTATCTCTACAAAAAATAGCCAGGTAGCAGGCACAGTGGCTCATGCCTATAATCCCAGCACTTTGGGAGGCCGAGGCAGGCAGATCACCTGAGGTCAGGAGTTCAAGACCAGCCTGGCCAACATGGCAAAACGCTGTCTGTACTAAAAATGCAAAAATTAGCTGGATATAGTGGCATACACCTGTAATCCCAACTACTCAGGAGGCTGAGGCAGGGGAATCGCTTGAATCCAGGAGCTGGAGGTTGCAGTGAGCCAAGATCATGTCACTGCACTCCAGCCTGGACAAGAGTGAGACTCAGTCTCAAAAAAAAATATATATATATAGCCCAGTGTGGTAGCATGCACCTGTGGTCCCAGCTACTCAGGAGGCTAAGGTAGGAGGATCACGTGAGCCGTGATCACACCACTGCACTCCAGCCTGGCTGACAGAGTGAGATCCTGTCCCAAAAAAAAAAAAAAAAAAAAAACAAAAACACAAAAAAAAAAAAAAAAAAAAAAAGAATCAAAAACGAATTCTCCAATCCCCTCCCCACCTAGGCATCCGAACACCCCATGTTCCCTGCCCCACTCCCCCAGCCTATCTGGCTGGACGGCTATCCCCTGCTAGAACAGACTATTATTACTCTACAGGCCCAGAGTAAGAATGGTCTATTATTCACTGGTTTTTAAAAATATTTATTTTTAGAAAGAGAGAGAGGGTCTTGCTCTGTCACCCAGGCTGGATTGCAGTGGCGGGATCACAACTCACTGTAACCTCTGACTCCCAGGCTCAAGAGATCCTCCCAGCTCAGCCTCTCAAGTAGCTGGGACTACAGGCACAAACTACTACACCCGGCTAATTTTTGTATTTTTTGTAGAGACTGTGTCTTGAACTTGACAGGCTGGTCTTGAACTCCCGAGCTCAGGCGATCCACCCTTCTCAGCATCCCAAAGCATTAAGACTACAAGTGTGGGCCACCATGCCCAGCCTGTACCTACTTCCTCAGGTTATAATGGAGATACGATATGATGCCTGCCGCTCCTGGCTGGTACTGGGCTCAGGAGTAGTGGTTTGTTCCCACCCCCACGGGCATGGTATTTTGTGCACATCTGCAAATGAGGTGGGCACCTGGACTTCTAGAGTCCAGGGAGGTGGTCATGTCATTGTGAGGCCAGAAGTCAGCTCTCTGACCCCTGGGTTCTTCATCTGGGTGGTGGGACAGCCACCTGTGCTTCAGGGGGCTGTGGGTGGCAGTGGGTGACATGTGGGAAAGCATTTGCAGCCTGCGATGGCTGCATCTGTGAGTGATCATGTCCAGCTCATTCACTCATCCTTAAGACCCACTGTGACCGGAAGTCATGTGGTTCCTGCCTGCCTTAGTGTCCTAGGGCTGCCATAATGAAGTGCCACAAACCGGGTGGCTTAAAACAATGGAAACTGGTTGTTTCGAAGGTCTGGGGGCTACAAGTCCAAAATTCAGGTTTCGACAGGGCTGGGCTCCCTCTGAAACCCATAGTGGAGTCCTTCCTTGCCTGCTGTAGCTTCTGGTGCCTTGCAGGCCCTCCAGGCATTCATTGGCCTGCGGCTGCACAGCCAGTCTCTGCCTGTGTGGTCACATGGCATCTTCCTTAGTGTCTGTGTCTTCACATGGCTGTGTTCTTACAAGGACATCAGTCAGATTAGACGAGGGGCCCACTCTGCTCCACTGTGACCTTGTCTTTTTTTTTTTTTTTTTTTTTTTTTTTTTTTT